GCCATTGTTTTCTAAATTTCTCGACATTATGGAAAAGGTTCTGTTAGAGCAAGGCTAATTAAACAGCTGGACTGCATTACTGAAGACAAAGGTTACATGCTAAAATAGCATACAAGGACTTTTCTTTGAACGATTTTTGGATTCCTACTGGAATTGTTTTTGCCTCTTCTTATTCGTGGATGCAATTAAAACTGTTGGAGAGAGTGGGAATAAAAGTGGACTGATCACAAAAGACTTGATATTGTTCTAAAAGGAAAAAGGCCGCGACCACTTGAGTAATGGTCGTTAATACGATCCACTGGTTCAGGAAGGGCTTGCGGCTTCACGACAACCCGTCGCTCAAGGAATCTCTGCTGGGAGCGGACACTGTCCGCTGCGTCTACATCCTTGACCCCTGGTTCGCGGGATCGTCCAACGTTGGGATCAACAGGTGGAGGTGAGGCAAACAACGACCAAGCATCCAACCACGTGCAAACACAGATATACAGTAGCTGAACCTTATCATGCAAATTTGTATGCTTTGATTTGTCTGCATGAAAGAAGCTTTGGCCTCCACAGTCCCCGTAATCCCACGAATACGTTCCCATTCACGCGACAAATGCAATATACACGAATACCATATATACTCTGTGTTTGGGGACATATCAGTTAAAAGTTGGGATGCACAGATTTGCACGTTTTGCTGGTATTTGATTTAGAGCTGAAATGACAGCTTCAGTGAACAGTTAACTGGCAAAAATGACCTAAAAACAGTTTTTAAGATGATTTATTCTTTAGCGTTTTTGCCTTTATTTGACAGCAGCAGCAGTGATACAGACAGGAAAATGGGAGGGATGCATGCATGCTTTGGCACGTGTTTACTTATGCAGGCAGTAAATGCAAGATGCATTGTATAATATGTTTTTGCATATCATTTGTCATGAGGCTCTTGACCATCCAAGTTAGGGATGCATAACTTTGAACTTTTCACTGATAATTTCTAATGTTGTTCTGTCTAATAAACATTTTTTCCAGTTCACTTCAGTAGATATTATAACTGTGATGCTTTCTTGTGCAGAGGCTTATGCCTCAAACACCGATAGATTAGCACTGGTCCCAGTTACAAAACACTGACACAACGCTCAAAGACATGCAGAACGCAATAGTTAAGTCCTGAACACATGCAACAGATTTTCTGACAGCACAGTAGGACAGTTTTGCTGTTACAGCTGTTATATAGAAGGTGCATCCTTGAGATGTTGACACTGTACATGTTGTTTGCTATGTCACAGAAAGAAAATCAGGTTTTATTGATTTTAACAGGATGTTTTAGAAATGAACAAAAAGTTAGAAATTAGTTTTATCTATTGAGAAAAGGGCAGGAATTGCTACATTCAGTTAGATATGATCTAACTAAATCTTATGTTAATCTGGATTATAACTGATATATTACACAGATATACTCCACCAGACATAATTGTGATATTGGTCATGGTACCATAACACAATATGAAGAATTATTGATCTATGTATGTTGCCCAGTCCTAATCCAGCTTCCTTCCCCCATTACATCTTTAGATGTAGTAGCGCACAAAAAATGGAATCTTCACCATAAAACACAGCATCAAGAGAAGAAGAAACGTCAGTTATATTTTCAGACACATAATTATGTCAAGCAAAATATATAATGGAAGGTGACCTCTCGCATAATTGATAACATTACTTTTTCCTTCTCCTCAGGAGGTGAATAAGATCTCAGACTGGTAAACAGCATTTTACTGAGTTTTTCCTCGTCTCCCTCCTACACTGTAATTATTGTCCTAGTGGATTGCGGTCTACACACTGATGATATAATGTTTAACTGTTTGGACAATGGTTTGTCGTGATGCATGTCCCTTACACCAGCTGTTTCCTAACTCTTACATATCAAGGCTCACCAGCTTGTTAGAGCACAGGCTGATCTGCACTGCAGTCTCTGTTACTAGGCTGTGATCATTACAGGCATGCACAGGCTGTATCTGTTATCCACAGCAAAGCTTTGAATATCAGTCAACACCAACTCAGTGGCTTGTCCGTTAGAATAAATGAGCCAAGGCACCAAGGGTCCAGTCCATTGCTTTAATAGGGATAGTTTGGTTTGGTTTATCTGACAGCAAGAAAAAGACTAAATGTAATACATTCAACATGACATAATTTTAAAATAAGTTTACATCAAACACAACTGCTGTAACAAGTCAAGTCTATTCCCAGTAGGAGCCATTCTTAAACAATAAACAGGCAAACCTCCGTGATATCTACACAGTCCAAACTGCTCGCAGATAAGGCAGCCACATGCAGCCAGCCAGCTTCTTTGAACAAAGGGTTTGTCAGAGATGAGCTGGCTTCATATGACTCTGCAAATCCACGCATACAGGAAGCCATAAGGCCAGGTAGAGGACAGGTGGAGTGGGAGGGGACTAGCTGAAAGATGTAGCAGTCTACACAAGCAGCTGCTGAATGACACAGCTCCTGGGGTTTACAGTGCAGTAGGTGTCTTGCTGGATGTTTCTGTTTCCTCTTCCTCTGTGTTCTGTGGTTAACATTGTGTTCCTGTGCCATCACTGGAAGAGCAGGGCAGCAGCAAAGACATGCCTGTTATGCAGCATCCGTGTTATGCTTCCACAGTTACATACTGGCAACCTGACGCAGAGATCACTCCGCATGCTATGGTTCATTCATTTATTTCATTTTTATACACAAATCAGACGTGTAAATCTATTTCTAAAACAAGTGGGGTGCACAGAGAATAGATGTTGAAAAGATTAAACTTAGTCTTTCCTTTAGAATCATGACCATTCTGCTAAAATACAGCTGAAATAATAAAATATAACTTGTTCTCTGTGCACTCCTCTGCTGTTTTATTTTTCCTTAGTCATGAAGTTACAAATAAAGAGAATCTCCATTTTAGATTTTTGCAGTAATTAAATGTTACAGACATTTTCAATTTTGTACGAACCAAAGCTGAGTAATGTGGCACTGATGGGAATATGAAAACCAGGCCTTCTTAGTCAAACTGTAGAGATGTTCTCCAGCTCTGAAACCTTTGTATCTCATAGCCTGTTTTGCTCAGTCTAAGAATAAACAAAGCAAAGCTAAATGTGCTGGTGCTAGTGCCTGATGCCTCTGTAATTAGCACTTACTCCTGTCTAGGTTCTTATCATTTGAACTGCTTGTGAAGTCGTGAGCAGTCCTGTCCCAAATGTCTTGGGCTGATCCTCACCGAACGAGGCGGGTCAGTGCCAGATGACATAATCACAAAAACTTTCTCTCCCTGCGGCATTTCCACACATTGCACAAGTAGGTCAGTATGTTAGCAGTAAACCCTTCATCCTCCTCGTCTTTTTTTCTTGCTGCTGCAAGAGACCTCAACCATCTCTGATGAGCAGCACCAGAGCACTAAACCCAGCAGAGCCGCTTCATCTGGTATTCATTTGTACACTTTATACTTGAAACTGTTTAAGCTAGTTAACAGAGTCAGGCCAATGATAATGAAAGACCTTTATTTCACATAAAAGCATTTCATTAGGATGTAATAATTAGTGTATAGTTGTTCTGTGACTGAGTTGTTTATGACAAGTAGAAGAGACACGGGTATGTCTATGCTTTGCAGTTCAGCTTTGTCTTTATCTGAACTTGACTTCTTTTCATTTGGAGTCAGGTGATCTGAGTTTGGCTTTGCAGCGCTTTGAGGTCAAGTGAAAGCAGTCCCTGGACTGGCAGGATAAATCTGAGATGAGATGTGAAAGGGCTGCTCAGTGGCCGTCATGTAAGACTGTGGTTGTAACTACTTCCACATGTGTATGGACACAGTTGAGAGTGGAGCTCGGTGTTCCTAGGGAAAAAACATCCATGCTCATAAAAGTATATAAAAAAAAAATCCACTTAACCAACCTTTTTCCATATGTTTAAAATAGGAGATCAACACTGAAAAACTTTTTCTCTGCAGCTCTGCTATATATACAGTGGGTACGGAAAGTATTCAGACCCCCTTAAATTTTTCACTCTTTGTTATATTGCAGCCATATGCTAAAATCATTTAAGTTCATTTTTTTCCTCATTAATGTACACACAGCACCCCATATTGACAGAAAAACACTGAATTTTTGACATTTTTGCAGATTTATTAAAAAAGAAAAACTGAAATATCACATGGTCATAAGTATTCAGACCCTTTGCTCAGTATTTAGTAGAAGCACCCTTTGGAGCTAATACAGCCATGAGTCTTTTTGGGAATGATGCAACAAGTTGTTCGCCCCTGCATTTGGGGATCCTCTGCCATTCCTCCTTGCAGATCCTCTCCAGTGCTGTCAGGTTGGATGGTAAACGTTGGTGGACAGCCATTTTCAGGTCTCTCCAGAGATGCTCAATGGGGTTTAAGTCAGG